AAAGTACGTCGTTTATAAAATAGAGAGGAAATTTTACTCAGCTAGAATGATCAAACTAAACTACATGACAAAACAAGGCCATCATGAGAAAGATTCTTGAGTATCTTACTAAGTTTTTGTAGGTTGGCTAGGCAAAATGTAAAAGAATAGATTATTTTGAAGCCATCATGAGCGAGGTCTGAAGGACCTTCCTAACTATCTATAGGTTGGCTGAAAAAAAAAACCGTAGGTTGTTTTGAAGCCATCATTAGGAAGGTTCTAGAGGATCTTTCTAAATACAATGAAACCTTCATATAAGGTACACGCCATATAAGGTACATCTCCGTATATAATACAGTTTTTTGTAGGAATTGCAAACCCCAATGTTTTCCTAAATAAAACCTCTCTATAAAAAGTACACCTCTGTTTAGCACGCAAAGTGAACCCTTGGTCGGCCACGAAGTAGCCACGCAGCTCTATGCAAGGTACACCCTCTACCTTAAGATTGGATGCTTCTTGTTGATGACGCAGCCAATCCCTTCGGCACATACAAAAACTCCAATCGAGAATCAATATGAATCATAGCCGCTTCTAGAGCAAGAAAACTAACACTTCTAGATGTCGAACGTGATGTCTAACAAGAAGAAATGAAAGCTGGTCGACTTGAACACCAAGCTTGCCATCATCAAGTACCTTGACGATGGCCACAGCATCAAAGCAACAGCTGACAAGTTTTTTTTATCAAAAGTAACTGTTCAGGCAGCAAAGCAGAACAGAGACCCGTTCTTGAGAGAAGCAGAGAGCAATCAGGCACTCTCTAAGGCTAGAATTGTTCAATAGACTGACAACAATGTCATTACATGGAGATGGTTTTCAATAGCAAGGTCGCGTGGCTATCCAATAAGTGGCCCCATTCTGCAAGAAAAAGCGAAACAAATCGCTAGTCGTTTGGGAACTAATGTCAAAGAATTTTTTGCATCTGAAGGCTAGCTGCAAAAGTGGAAGCAGAGAAACAATGTGAAATTGTACAAGATTTGTGGAGAATCAGAAAATGTAGATCTTACAAGCGCCGAACAATGAAAGACGTCATTGCAGTCATTGTTAGCATGCTATGATCTCAAGAACGTTCAATATGGATGAGACAGGCTTTTTCTTCCAAGCCTTACTTGATTCAACACTGAACCACATCGCTGATTCATGAAAAGGAGGGAAGCAAGGCAAAGTTAGAGTCATTGTGGCTCTAACTTGCTCAGCTATGGGCAAAAAACTCACGCCTTGGATTGTCGGCAAGTCAAAGAATCTTTGTTCTTTCAAAGGTGTCGACATGAGCAAGTTCAAGGCCAAGTATTTGACCAGTGCAAAGGCGTGGTAGACTAATCCATAGTTCAATATTTATTTAAAAGACCTGGATGAGACCTTTGTGCAGGCAAATGAAATGGTATTTGATTCAATCGCTTTTACCAAAGCCAACTCACTCTTTAGTGAAGAAATGGATTTGTTCGGTATGAAGGCCAAAATTCAGTCTCTTTATCTCTCAACGTTAAGGCAATCTTCAATTGAGCAGTATTTCCAATAACTTATAGTTGATCCTCATTTTCACTACTGTACATCTAGGGTTTTAGGGTTAGAGTATTCCATATAAAGTACACCCACTCCATAAGGTACAAAACTAAAAAAGTTTGGAGCAAATGGTGTGTACCTTATATGGAGGTTTCACTGTACTTGTAGGTTGATTGAAAGTAAAAATAGTAGATTATTCTATAACCATTATGAGGAAGGTTTTAAAGGAACTTTTTTAATATATATAGGTTGGTTGGAAAAAAAAGTAGATTACTCAAAGGTTGAGTTTACAAGATGTGATTTACTTGTAGAGTTGGCCAACTTAGCCTCATATAGGAGCAAATTGAGGACCATAAGTGCATATCATTATGATTTTTAATTCAGTTGAAACTTTTTGAACTGACCATGATCAATTTTAATACACAATATTTGAGTAATTGATCCAAAAGTTTTGTAAGTTTCAAGTTGACAATTTTTGTGTGATAATTTGTGTAGAACAATAAATTTTGGATTGAGATATGTATGTGAATGGTCAACTGAAAATCTAGAGACGTCATTTCACGCTCTTGATCATCACCAAGCACTAGCTTTCATCAATGTGACTTTTTTTGTCAAGCCTTCAAGTTTAGTCTTGAAATTTCAAAGAAATGGAGCTTAAAATACAAGTGGATTTCAATGAAAAAAACTTCCATACAAACTTCTTGCCTATGATAAAGTTTTCAATTGTGACAAGATTTTGCAACTTTGGAAGGAGCAACGGAAACATCAAATTCATTAGCTTTGAAAATTTTCAAAATTCCTTCTGACCAAAAGATTCTTGATATTCAACTTCAAGCTGCGCTTGGCTTTGCTCAAGCTACTTGAACCTTTCACTTGACATGATGACATGACGCTAGATTGCTAAAACACAAAGCAAAAGCAATTGAAGTTTGATGGAAAAGAAGGAAATTGCTTACGCAATGCAATAAAAAGAAAACCTTGTCTATTGATAGATTGACCGAAGACATACTTTTAGTTTGAGGTTTTTTAGTGAAAGCAGTCATAGATCCGACGTCTTCTTGAGCTTATTGCTTTTTTTTCAACACCGTTTGAAGAAAAAAATGATTTATGCAAAAAATTATTATTGCTGTCAATATTCACGACCTCAATTATCTTGTGACAAATTATATCCATGATTAAATAAGATATTGAGTTCTATGTGATTTATCTTGCGCCCTATAATCATTTTTTACATATTATAAAATGTTATGCATTTGAAACCACAATGAAAATTGACAATCTTCTATTTCAATTTCATCTTTATAATAAATATATCAAATCAAACAGATTTATTTTTTGATTTTATATTTTTTAACTATGAATATTTTTATTTGAATGTGTTAAACAAATCAAAAATTATTATTTTTACTAGTGTATTTATCTTAAAGTGTAGATATAAATGTTCTAATATTTAATTTTTTAGAATGAAACTAGATAGATTAGATGTATTATTCTAATTTTGATATATAATCAAATTATAATTTCAAATTCAAATATATTACAATTTTATATCGTTAGATTAATCATCAAATAGATTATGATCATTATCAAATGATTACAATTTGCAATATTTAACTTTTATTTTCAAAATTTTCTAATGTAATTCTCTTACCTTGACATGTATTTGATCATCCTGCTCAAATCTAGAGCAATACTAAAATTAGTGTACATTATCAAATATACAAATTTGCTAACAATTTTGTCATAAGTAATCAATGTCATTTGATCTTTTTCAATACTCTCAATTAGAAAGTTAGCTGCTAATAGTTTTTAAATGTGTTTGAAGAATAAATTTTTTTTGTGTATTTACATTTCTTTAATCATATTTTATTCATTTTTAAATTTTTTTATGGTTCTAAAATTATGTGCAGTTTTTTTATTTTGAATACAAATTTCATTTGATTTTTTTATCTATTGACATCAAATTATTTCCTAGCCAAAATGAACATGTCATACACATATGTATTAAAATAATGAGATTAAAATTTTTAATATGAATATATGAAATGTATAAATTTTTTTCGTACATAAATAAACTCATAATGCGTTGCATTTCATTATATGAGAGCTTGGGTTATTAATCAGTATAAAAATTTGAACAAATTACAAATCAACAAATCATAACATTTGTCCTTAAAATCAAATGATTGATTTAATAAAAATTTCTTCCTAAACAATTTCATAAAAAGTAAGTTGTGACAATATATATCGTCTACAAAATGATTATAGTAGCAAATCCACATACTAATCACATTATATCAAACATCGCTACAAGTGAGAAATCTTTATTGTGATTCATATTTTCTCCTTGTGTTCTTCAAGGCCACATTCCTGGCTTATTGTAGCCACAAACTTGGCCTTGAAGAACTTATTCTTGCCATCCATTATAGAATTCTTCAACTTGTACATCCACAAATTATCAACAAAAGTCTAATCGTATGAAAATGCCACTGGATTTCAAGTTTTGTTATCAATTAACATTTAAATATCACTTAGCATATGAATAATAATAAAATTTCTTGACATAGATTGAGGTTATGGACAAGAACAATTCTGTTGTTTTACATCTTATTATTATCAACATTCTGGGATTCAATACCATGATCTTCAAAAATTAAAGAATTATCTATATTTGGTTAGAAAAACTAATTGTTATCTTGCAGATCTGGTATATTTAAATTCTCACGATTTAATTATAGTAAAAGATAATTGAGGGACTCTTTGGAGAGGCGGCAAAATTCACAATCAAGGTGTGTAAGTATAGTTTATGTAAAGATGCAATCTTTGTTCTTAAAGCCCTATATTTATGTGGATCAAACATCGCTAATTGGACATGTTCGTGATAAAAATCATACCTTTTATCACACCAGGGGATCATCATCATCATCTTATAGGTGTAAGGTTGTTTTCTTCTATGACTCTATTTAAACAAAATGTTGTCATTGTATATGGAATACACTACGTAGTGCTAACAACCGAGTTAGGTTAAGTTAATGTTGTTTGTAGGTTTTCGATTAGATAGTTGGATATCTTATATGCAACGGCGCATATTTATCGTTGTGATGGTAATGGGGCATATGGTTTATGATAACTTCGTCTCACTTTTTTCTACATTACTCGCCCCTATTAAACCACTTTACCGTGATTTGATTATTACATCGCTTAGTACTAAAGGAGTAGTTTTTGCTGGTATGCAACTGTATCTGTAACATGATATATACAAGAGTATTTGTATAACATTTTATGCAATTCATTTCTCAGGCAGCGTCTCTGTTAAGCTTTCTATGAATAAATCTTGTCGCGGATACAGTATCGTTACAGTGAACCAGTGGAGCTGGAGCCCTAAAGTGTACTGCTTGTGGCATGACTCTTCCGAAGATACCTTGTTCTTCAACCAAGCGAATATCATTTGCCGTGTGCCCTATTTCTTCCTCGAAACTCTACTCAGGACAGGCAAGGAACGGCCAGGAACGGCATACACCGGCAAACCTTCACAATTGGAGCCTTTCCTCGTCTGACTCTTTCTGAGGTGCATTCTTTCTAGCATCTTAGTTTGCCCGTCCAGTCTGTTAGCAGCGGTACGATCTCTGGCGTGGTCACGGTTCCCTCCTGTACATCAAGTGGGGTAAAGAATGGCTTATAGATCCGACGATGATTATGATTATTTGTTCAAAGTTGTTCTCATCGGAGACTCCGGGGTAGGAAAATCAAACCTGTTGTCTAGATTCACGCGCAACGAGTTCAGTCTGGAATCCAAATCAACCATTGGCGTGGAGTTTGCAACTCGTAGCATCAATGTGGACAGCAAACTCATCAAAGCTCAGATATGGGACACTGCTGGTCAAGAGAGGTATGTGCTTGTCGCATGATATGTGCACAATCTCACGGATCGTTGTATGGGTCTCAAGTTATGGGATTTAAGCGATTTGAGAGATCCTTCTGTATTCAAGATCTTTTACAGCGGTCGTTGACTATGTCGAAAGAGGAAGTTCTTAGTTATCTGGATCAGTGCTCGATAGAGATCTCAACATTCAATCGAAGTCGTGGATTTTATTAGGTCTTTTTCATTGTGTGTAATGGCAACGTACGACCGTGGAAATAGTGAGTCGCCTTTAGTTTTTCTAATTCGTAACAGAAAATTAATGAGGCCAATTAGCAAGTTTCTACTACATGTTTCGAGCAGCAAATTATCATTCTTGAGATCAAGCTGATAACTTCGACCTTATGGTCTGTTAAGTTCTGTCAGGTTTATGAGTATACTGGTAGTGGTAATGCTAATGGTAAATATACTGCGTCCTATGTCCGACATCATTAGATTTCACTGGCCACTTGTTGATCTTTTATGATTATAAGTTTGCCAAAGACTGAATATTAAAACCCGATTGGACTACACACCTTCATCGTCAAGTCTTGCCTGGCCCCAGCCTCCCAGCGAAATATGGAATCGAATGCATCTGTAAGCTCATCTGTCACATTTGTAGGTTGTGTAGATGATGCCTATGTTAGATCGGTGGGTATCATGTCGTGTTTCTTGAGTGGGATTTCTTGTGCGGTATGTAATCTCCATCATATCCAGCGATCGGATATTAGCTATTCTGGATTTGTTTAGACATCCTAACGTGGTCTTTCTGCTAGTCCTGCATTTTTAGCTTTTGCCATCCGCTTCTACTGCGCAACGTGTATTCTATGTGACCTGACAGTGCATTATAGGTCTACGTTGTTGCACGTCAATATATTCTTGTCTCACATGTTTGTCCCTTATTTCTATGCGTACCATCCTTCAATTGCTGAGCGATCATAAGAGTTTGGTGTGGTGTAGAACTAGTCTTCACTTGGGTCACCTTCCTATGATCTGACACTGCATTGCAGATATACGTGGTAAGTGGTGAAGATGAACTTGTCTCTTTTGCGTGTTATTGATCCATTCGGGGGCATTGTATAGATATGGCTAAGTGTAGGGCCGAGCTTCACCCGGATCGTTATCATCTTCCGTGGCAGCTGCAGTGTCTTTTAGCCTATGGTGGAAAATCACTCACTAAAGGTCCTTATGATGGATTGATGTATTTGAGTAGGAATATGTAGCTTTCGTGCTCATTGTACACGAAGATGCACCTTTCATGGGGTACTGGGTGGTTGGTTCTCGTCTTTTGGTCTGTATTCGAAGTGTACGTTTGCGCTGTGGTCTATCTTTGTCATCCCGACCGATTCCGTATATGGATGCATGACGTTTAAGTTGTTATATCAATATATCTAGCGTGTTCTAAGACAGTCTAAACTTGCAGAGAGTATTTTAACGTATTCCGTAGTGTATGGCCTGACAATCTCTTTTTATGAGACATTATGAGCAATCTTGCGTCATGAGTGAGAATATGTGGTTTAGACACTGGAATGTCAATAAAATGTTGCGAGGAACCAACCTGTCAGATAACATATCAGTGTTTCTTGATCACGAGTAGGACTGATAGTGTGATTACAGTATAGAAGGAGAAAGGATATCGCGTTTGCTCATCCATGAGAGGAATGTGCAGAGTTAGACGAGTGGAAGATGTTCGAATTCTAGTGCGAGGTTTTAGACTCGGTAGCCAAATCCTCATTTATTGACTCTAGACCTGTGTAGTAGCTTGATTTATGAACAGAGGCTGAGTGACGTGGTCCTGTTTGCCATTTCACCTATACGTTCTAAATCTAGCTGTTGGCAGCGCATGCGGAGACATGGATTTTGGACAGTTGATTACCGGACGAATATAGGCTAGACAGTCTTTTGGAACAGCTTTAGCCCACCAAAGGGATTTGCGCTTTTTTGTGATGGCTCCCCGTCTGTCCTTCAATGCTCTTTCTATATTCATAATCGTATACATGTAGGTAGTTGAACTTCACGTTATCTTCAATCTCCTATTTGTTTGTTTTGTTAACTACGGTATGCAGTGTGAAGAACAGCTTTCTTGTACTTGTCACATTTGTGATTATGGGTGTCCAAATCTGCTACTTAATCTGGAAATATGGATCATGCAGTCCTGGACTTGTTGAGTTGCCGTAGGATGAGTTTGACCTTCCCTACCTTCGAATTTTATCTTACTACATATTTGTGAAACTACAGGTACCGGGCCATCACTAGCGCGTATTATCGTGGTGCCGTAGGAGCTCTCTTGGTATATGATATAACTCGTCACGTCACTTTCGAGAACGTGGAAAGGTGGCTGAAGGAGTTGAAGGATCACACTGATTCTAATATAGTGGTTATGCTCGTTGGGAACAAATCAGATCTGCGGCATCTAAGAGCTGTTTCCACTGACGATGGTCAGAACTTTTCTGAGAAAGAAAGCCTTTTTTTCATGGAGACTTCTGCCCTCGAGTCCACAAATGTTGAGAATGCTTTCAAGCAGATTCTTACTCAGATTTACAGGGTGGTAAGCAAGAAGGCTCTGGACGTCGGTGAGGATCCATCTGCTGGACCTGGGAAAGGTCAAACAATAACAGTTGGCAACAAAGACGAGGTGACAGCGACCAAGAAAGTAGGATGTTGCTCAGCGTAAATATGTGTTTGAAACCTCGGCATGGCTCGTATTAGAATACGCAACAATCTGGTAGGGTGATCGTGCTTTTTCAATTTGAGGAGATTGTAAACCTTGAGGAGTTGATAGCCTCGTTGCACCAGTCAGGTTTTACAGAGGAAATCATGGAAATCGTGAGCCATAATTTAAGGAGTTGGCTATCAAAAGAGAAGTGTATCACGTGGCAGCAAATGTTTCAGTTATTTCTGTCGAAGTATCCTTATCTTGAGGGCCGTACCTTCAGCTATTGCAAGTATGTTTTGAAGCGGATTGTTTGCAGGTCTCGTAATAACCAGAAAATGGTTATTTTCATTGTTAATTTGTCAGGACAGCTGTGCATTGGTTCTGCGATGTAGTTTACTTATGACCAGCCCTGCATTATCTCATATAAGAATATTACGCTTGAGCCGAAATGAGGAAGGAAGCAACGTTTTGATGCTGTGGTGCCATCACAAGCTAAGAAGTGCAATGTAGTGGTATATGATCTGACCCTCTTGAAGGTCGTCTGTAGCTGTAAGTAATAGCGCTGGTTTTTGCAAAGGGGTTCTTTTTCCTCCTGGAGTAGTCAATCTCCTACTTGTGGTTGTTTACATTTATTATGTCATAACGCACAGACCAATGCCATTGGAACTTTGGCGCTTTTGACAATATATAGACCCGCATTGACAGTGAATGAGAGGACTTGTTTCATATTTGAAATGACGTGTCCAAATTATCTCAACCCTTGAAAACACATGTTTGATGAAGTTCGACAGCGGGACGGAGGATGATGGGGAAATTGTGGTCTGTTCGTGGTCCGAGCGGTAGACACCAGAGCATTTTGAGAGATCGAGTAGTCATTCATAGCTTTACTGCCTAAGAAACGAACTGCGTTTGTTTGTACCGGATTTTGCGAACTGAATTGTGTGGTTTTATTCGTCAGGTGATTTAAATTTCATATCTCAGCAGTTCACGCTTGGCTCATATATACAGATATATTCTGAAGACTCGAGCTTTGTGAATGGTGTAAACCTTTGATTGCAAGTGAGTTCCTTGACAAAAGCAGAAACGACGGGATCGTATCCGTTGCTGGAGGTGGTGAGGATGAAAAATGTTCCGCGTGATAAGGCTCACTTTCATATGTGCATATATGCATGTATGCACTTCTTCATGTATCAAGTGATACTCGACTTGACACTATTTTAAAGTATTAAGGGATATATGATATCTAGGCGGTACAGAGAACAAAAAATTCTTTTCCACACACCTCCGACGGAGGAGTCTTAGCTGCTTATTTCGCAAGTCTCGCGTTGCATATACGCTGCATGAACCATTACGACTTCGATACTAATGTAATCGATCAAGAAGCTAACCAGGGTCGTAGCCAAAAGAGATATGATTTCATCCTCGCACTCCGGGGACCCATGTCCCCGTTTTTGTGCCGTTTTCTGACTTGTGTGCCTTCCAAAACCTTTCTAAAAGTCTAGGTTTATAACAAAAAAGTAGTGTGTTTTCAGTCATGTTTAGCAAGTTACTTACGCGAAGTCTCGTGGAATATGGAATAGCCAAGACTACTTTGAACCTAGCTTGAACGCTGGAGTCCTCGTCAAGCCCTCCCCTCTGGTGCTCGTGTGCGGGATTTGTCAACCCACTTCTTTACAAGTTAAAAGAAAAAGGTTTTGTATAACGGAGTGAAACATGGAAATATGTATCCACTGCGAGGACGAAACTAACCCTATTGGATAATAAAGAAAATTTTAAATTATATAATTAAAACGACTGGGGAATCATAAGTTACTACTCGTTCAGGTCAAATTGCAGTAGTCTTAATCAGATTGTAGATATGTTGCATTGGGAGCTCTTGGTCACGCCAGTAACGTGACCAAGTGCTCCCAAAGCCAGCAAGTCGACGATAGTGAATCCCGCAGGATTGTTGGTCCTCTTCAAACTAGAAAACTCTTTACGAGTACATCATTGGCCTTGTAAATGGATCGTATCATTTTGGCAAGGAAGATCTGCTTGGGGTGGAATAATAGCAAGTAAAATCGGATAAGAAAAAGTAATACGGAACGGAGGAATATTTGAAAGTGAACCAACTTCAGTTTCCTGGCTGAGAGTTTCAGACTCCTAGAACGCGGGCTCACCTCGTCCTTCCATTCATGCATATACCACTCGACCGAAATAATATTATTTGGTTCCAAACAAGCTAGAAAATTGCTTAGCTCAAATGAAAGAAATATTGAATAAAGATTTAATTCAACCAAGCATTTCACTTTAGGGAGCATTAGTGCCATTTATGAAATAAATATTATAGCATAAGATTATGCATTGATTATAGTGGGTAGAATAAACAAACGATAAAAAAACAAATTTAAAATATTTTTTAATAAATGATGTGTTTGATCAACTTTAAGAAATAAAATACTTCATCAAATTGAATCTAATTATCGGTTATAACTAAACTAAAATTAGGAAGAATAATTCATACAAATGCTTTTTGTATTTTATATGATAATTTTAAGTGTCTAATGTTGATTTTTGTTATCATTAATGCACTACTACATTCATAAGATTGATAAACAATATCCATTATTTTTACTCAGAAAAACATATTTTTGATCTAGATGATATATGTTAGTATGAACTAAAGTCTTCAATCAAACTCTAATTAAACTCTTGTCAAAATATATTTAGTTTTAGGATTGATACTTGTTAGAAATAATACTAGAGTTTATGCTACCCTGTATGTATAAGTTTGCAAATGATAGCTTGTATTGAATGCTTTGTAAGTTTTTTTAATAAAGATCTCATTGTTTACATGGATGTTATCCAAGATAGACAAACCACCGCTAGTATGTTGTCCATCATCCATTAAAACTTGGCAGGTGAATTTTTCAACCCAATAGATAAAAACTTCCATTAGACAAACAATCCTTGCCATCCGACTTGACACTTCAAAATGCTGTCTTGGACTTGTTCACATATCGGATTGGCAATTGGTTGTACTCTTCCCGTAGATCAAAAAGTAATGAATATCTTTGCTTGTCTTGATGTCCCATTACATCAAAGATCACCTCAGATGTAGGCATGTCATATCAATCAGACTTGGTCTTCCTATTGATAGTACGGTAATCTCCACAAATCTACCGCTTTGTATAGTTGCCATGTCCTTCTTGATTGGCATGACAATGGCTGATGTATACTCTTCATATGACAACTCCACATTTCACACTCCTAAGGATCCATTAGTCTATATTGTTTTACATATCACTGTACTTGTATGGACGACAAAAGATTGATGTATCATCATCCACATCAATCCGTATACCAGGGCTAATCAAAGCATCCAACTGCTTCAAACTGAAGGCAAAACAATTTCTAATTCCCTTAGTAATTGTATCAATCGTTGTTTCTCTCCTCATGTGATATTAGGACCAACCAATGGCTTTCAATTCTAGTCTATAGGCACACTAAAGGGAGACGACACTTTCATTGGTTCCTATGTCACATCCTCCAAAGGATCGGTACGGCTCTTCGGAACCTCCTTTAGATCAAGATCCAGGTGAGAAACTACTCCAACTACATAAGCTGCAATTCTATCAAGCTCTCTTGTCACATCTCTTGAATTTCAAGGATGACAAATATCTCGCTTGTTGTCCCCAACCATTGCCACTATCATCTCGATAGATAATGAGCTAACAAGTGGTGTAAAAATCATCACATCAGCACACAAACGTAGTTGTTCAGCTAGACCCAAGCTCATAATCCAAGTTATTCAGTTCAGGTTCATAGCTTGATCTAAAACCTAACCACGTGATGCCTACAAAATTGAAAAAGTTGCAATCACACGAGTCATAAATCTCATTGCACTCTTTCTTTCATCAGCGTTGGGCTCCACTAACTAATGCATCGTAGAATTTTGTACAAGATCAGGTTCACCATCTCGATATGCATGTGATGAGGAAAAACTAATCAATGTGGATAAAGCAATCCAAGGCTAACTTACCCAGTTCATCAATGTCATAGATGACCTGTTAGCAACTCTCATCATTTGAAAAAGTTGCAAAAAATCCAATAATTTTGTTTGCGGTGAGTGTAGGATCACGCTGCACGGAATCATAGGCACAACGTAATATTTCACGTGGCAAGAGATTTGTCCATCATAATCGTCAACGACAAGCACGTGATCTAATTCTCGCGGCATCTAAGAAAACGATCGATCTAATTCATAATTTGACCTCAAGAACATCCGTCATCAACTAGGTTTGCGTGTCATCTAACAATGGCACGTTCTCTACAATGTATGCTGGAGCATGTGCTTGATGCACCTAGAGATAACGTAACATACGTAACATTTCCCAAAACATTTGAGATCTAGGTACTTGCAACCCTACTTCATGATCAATCCGCGTGTGATCTTAGCATGGCCATCCCGTAATCACCGAGTCAATAAGGTAACTTGATGAAGGTCTGATGCCTCCAACAATAAAATATCCAAAGACAATGCCTTTTGGTATTGAATAGCTGATTGTGATAACAATGAAGGATAACGTTGCATTGTGCAATATGTCGTGAGGAGACTCAGCGTGCAGTTTCATACTTCTCCACATACAAGTATCTCCGTACAAGAATACAACACTTGCAACATTGCAACCAAACCTATGCTGATCCCACCAAAAAGACTCAACACACAAACACCTTCTGGTGAATACATCCATGCAATTAGTGTGATATTCAATGAGAATAGTGCAATAAAACCACAAAAAATTTGATCACCTTGAACTCTCTCTATCTACTTCGTACAAAGACCTTAGTCTAAGCCTTCTTCACTAGCCTATAAACCTCGTGCTGTAACGCATGGCAAAAATTCCAAAGTGAAACACCCAAGAAAGAAGGGACTGCCGCTGCAAAGCTCACAATCTCCTCCACATCCTCATAAACTAGAGTATCGTCAACTCACATATTGTACTCCAATAAGTCATTAGGCCACGTAAGCATTACGCTTATTAGCATTATTCTTAGCATCCGTTGCAAGTTTTAAAACTTGCAACGGATGCTAAGATTGTAGGAGAAATTCAAGTGGTCAAGCATCAAAAGTAAATCTCACAAGCTGTTTGCTCATACATCCATCATAAGACTACCAATCCAAGCAGTAAGCAATTGTCTCCGTTCAATAGTTCATATGAAAATCGATAAGATATATACCACCAACAAGCACATCATCTGACTCTGCTGATGTAACCACAACACAAACTTCAATCTATGATCGATCACGTGCATGATCATTGCCTCAACTCCATCAATATGCTCTCCTTGATCATAAAATAAGAGCTATTGCTAGTGCCACCAAGTGATTATTAAATTTGGAATAAACAAGACTGCAATTTTGACCTCTAAACATCCAAACTAATGCATGCTATCTTTTCAAACATCAAGATTTGTGCACCAGAGTCAAGCAAAACTTTGGTTGGAACATACACATGTCATGTAAGAATCATCAAGCAAAACATACCAATTTGATTGTCCATCATACATACACCAAGTACAATCCTCTCACGATTAATGGCTAGCATGGTTGGTAATGATTCCATCTTTTCCGCTGCCATCTGCCAAATTTTCAATGTCCCCTCATGTAGACGTTAAGGATTGCTACAAAACAATATCCTTGCATATCTTTGCACTTATAGCAATGACACTCCTAC